GCTGATGGAATTAAGTTGCTAATCACTTAACAAAAATAGGGAAATTATCCTGGATTATCTGAGTGGAAATTGAAGTAGAAAACGAAGTCAGAGACATGTGACTAAGGGGAACAGGCAGGAGAGATGAAAATCAAGAGAGGGACTCAACCTGCCATTCCTGCCTTTGAGGATGTAGCGTGGGGACCATTCACTAGATGGAGTTCCGAGTATGCCATCCCCCAAATTTGCTGCTCTGGCATATTGATTATTTTGCATTAAAGGCTCATGAAACACAGCAAATACAAGGAAAACACTTTGACCTTCCTTATTTTTCTTAAGAGCAGGAGATGAAATACCTATGTGAAACATGTCCTTCCTACACCATAAGAAATATGCATTCTAATTATCCAGGCCAGGAAGTTGAGATCAAGAGAATTCTACACAAACAGACTTCGTTAAAATAATTCTTATCTTCCTTTAGCCTGTGCACATAGTTGAGTCACTTTTACACCATTGCCTCTCTTTGTTATACCTCTCTTTGATGTTACATCAAAGCAAATTGGCTTCATAATTTCTTTAGGTCTTCATGCCATGTGAAGACTGTCATGTCATGAAAAGCTTGCATTAAATAAATGTGTATGCTTTTCTTCTGTTGATTTATATTATGTCAATTTAATTATCAGGCTCAGCCAAAAGGGACCCTACGAGGTTTAATAAAGATAATGATTTGCCTTCCCTGAAAGTCAAGGAACATGGTTGTCCTCTAGAAGCTGGGAACAGGTTTCTGCTGACAGCCGGCAAGTAAATAACAACCACAAGGAACTGAATTCTGCCAACAGCCTGAATGATGAGCAAGGAAGTGGATTCTCTCTCAGGGCCTCCAGAAGAATTAAGCCTGCTTTGGCCTAGATTTTAGTCCTGTGAGATCCATGTCAAATGCCTGACATACAGAACTGGAAGGTAATAAATGTGTATTGTTTCGAGCCACTAAATTAGTTAAAGGGGCAATAACAACTAATAAATCAAGAAATTTTATATCTCTTTCACTTCAATCAAAGTTTATCCAATACTGAATTCTCTCCTGTTGGGCTGGCCGAGTATTCAGTCTCAGACACTATCAAGACCCTTTCCTCTACCAGTGACAAGTCCCCACAGAGTTTACCGTGTGCTGTGTTAACCTACTAAAAATAAAAGGCCCAAGTGGAAGGCAACAAACATTTATTTGAGATCCCAGACAATAGCTATTCAGGAGGCACTGATTTAGGCAGAAACTTAAATAGTGTACCTAGTAGGAGGGTATTTATGAGAAAGGGAAGGAGAACAAATATAGGAATAGAAGGAATTTCTATAGGTGAAGATAAATTAACACAGTGATGCTAATTCTAAAGGCATACTTTTCTTTTCTTCCTTTCTCCCTTCCTTTCTTCCTTCCTCACCCAAATACATGTTTTGTCATCACTTTTCAAGAGAGAGGTAGGGAGAGAGAAACATCAATGTGAGAGAGAGACATCGATCGGTTGCCTCCCATATGTACCCAGACTGGATATTTTATGTGCCCAGACCAGGGATCGAAACTGCAGCCTAGGTATGTGCCCTGACCAGGAATCAAACCCACAACTTTTGGTTATGAGGCAACTTTCTAACCAATTGAGCAACACTGGCCAGGGCTAAAGTTCTTTAATTTTCAGTTCTGCAGTCATAATGTCTGCTTTCTTGCTATTTTTGCAAACAGTTGTTTGGGATACAGTGGTACTTGAGGCCCAGCCCAGAGGTTATTTGGCCCAGTTTTTTTTTTTAATTGGTGGAAGTGGGGTTCTTGCAGTGTCTAAATGAAAAAAATTTTCTGAGAATGTGGCTCTGTGGTATGGTTTAATGATGATGTACAATTAAGAGAGTTCCCCTCCTGGCTTCCCAATGTCTCATCTCCATTTGCCTAATTACAGAGAAAGTACAATTTTGTGTTCAGTAGGGGCAGAGTGAAGGCCACTGCCCAGAGTTTATGCTCCATGTTACTGTATAGTGCATTTCAGCATCCAACTAGTTTAGTGTGTTTCCAGCAGTAGACCATGGCAGTGTTGGAGGCCAAGGAGAGAACAGGTGCGTGTACCATGTGAGTGTGGGCCACAGGTGAGAGAGAGAGTTTATTTGTTCCCATGGGGTTATAACCAGGGGCTTGGGTTTGGGGAGAGCCAGGTGCTTGCTGAAAATGACCAATCAACTTCCCAAGTTGGGCTTTGGCTAGGTCCACTCTCTAGTTAAATGGATAGGCCTCTTTCATCTAGTACCTTCCAATAATCTGGTACTGAAGGGGTGGAGGGAGGAGCATTAATCTCCTTGGCAGTGCAGTGCTGTAATCCCCTGGGGGAATAAACTGTGCTTCTTAGTTAACAAGCAAACAGGCTTATGCTTTCCAATTTATTAAACTCTATGTCTAGTTCCCTTTGCTCCCTTTTTCTAGCTAAATACCAACAGTAGCACTTTTAACATTCCAAAAGTTTGAGGAGTAAGATACGCAGGGCCGTTCCTCTGGGATAGCAGGTCTCATTCCATTTAAAAGTGGCTGTTTTTTTTTTATTATTATTATCAGAGAGTTTATTTAATTATTTTTAATTTAAATTATTTTATTGTTGTTCAATTACAGTTGTCCGTATTTTCTCCCCACTCCTCCCCCACCCCCTCCAAACCCACCTCCTTCCCTTCCTTCCTCCCTCCCCCTTGGTTTTGTCCATGCGTCCTTTATAGTAGTTCCGGAAAACCCTTATTTTTCTCAGCCAAGACGTCAGGGGAGCTGTTCAGACTTTCTATTATCATTTGCTACCATTGAGATGCTATTGTCTCTGCCATCCTGGTCCCATGTATTCTAGTAGTAGCAGCAGTGTCTTCACAATGCTGGGAGATCTGGGGTCAAGGGCACCACAGGGGTGGGGTTTGGTTTTCCTTTGTCTCCTTCCCCGTTAGGAAAAATCTTCCCTTTAGCAATTTTTCCATTTACCTCAATGGCACTTATCAATCCCCTCCTATAATCAGCACCTGCCCCCAGGCCCCCCCCACAGCAACACACACACACACACACACACACACACACACACACTCTCAGGCTTGATATTCTAATCAGTTTTATGATTCAAACTCTCCTGAGACAAAGAATCATAATGATTTGGTTACCTACTAGGAGTTGGAAGATAAACAAAACATAGATCAACATCTCAGTACATTGTTTTGCAACATCGCTGCATTGAGAAGTTGGCTGCATTCCTTCAAGGATCTTTTAACCCCTTTCTTGGTATCTTGGCATTTCCCAGAGGTTAGGTCACTGATGGTCTTTATTCATATTCCATGGTCTGTCTCAGGCTGGTAACCTCACAAAAAGTAGTACTGGCTGGGTGGGGAATACGTTTCCTCAAGCTTTCAAGGTCAGAGTTCATATACCTAAATATTGGGCTAATTTCTTGCTTTTCATGAGAAAAATGCCTTTTTTTCCCCTTCTCAACCTGTATTCCTTCCGCATGGGAGTTTTCTTTGCTTCTGGTCAACCTCTGTGAAAATAGGTTACACAGAAACAAGAATGGAGCAGGGGACCACTTGTGTGCCTATTGTAAAATCCTAGGCAAGAGGTGATGGGGCTTGACCCAGGGCAGAAATAATATGTGGTTGGATTTTGAATATTGTCAAGGGTAGAGCCAGTGATCTGACATGGGGTGTTAAAGTCAAATATAAGAGGGTTTATTTGGGAGTCCAGAGGGACCATAAGTGACTTAGGAAAACATTCCACATCTTGAAACTAGAAATGAGAGATGAAAATTTGTCACAAGAATCAAATTCTGGTGGTTAAAAAGTTGGTTCTTCAACCTAAATCTGCAGCCAATGTTTATTTATTTTCTGATTCATCTTCCTCTTTATCGTCCATGGGTTTTGCTTATTTTTCAATTCCAGCTGGCGTAAGTGTCAGGTCCTTCTCCCACCCTACATCCATCGCCTGTAGATATTTCAGCCTTTTCCTACCCCTCCCTTACAGTAGTCCCAAAGAAATGATGGGTGTTGTTTGCAGGGGAAAAGAATGCAAGATAGTTGAAAACAGTAGCCCTGTATTCTATTCACAAGCTTAATTTTAAGATAACAGAGAACCTAATATGTTCTCTGTTATGAACATATTAGTGAAACTAACACTTTAAGAAATACAATACTGCTCTCTTACTGTTAGTGGTAAATCTACTTTATTGGTATCAGTAACAAATTATTACTGAATGAAAAGAAGCATTTTGGGAAAGTAGAATTTCTGCTTCCATTCTAAGATGGGCTTCATTTTGGCTTTACAAAACTGTGGGCTATACTGCTGTTATCCAGGAGCTGTGCAGAGTTGGACAAGATAGTTCTCTTTCTGTGGCTTTTTTCTCTTGATCCATAAAATCCCTGCCCTCCATTTGCCTCTTGATCTTAGAGGCCTCAGAAAATTTAAAACCTCATTAAACAGATATTTGCTGTCTACTATATAACATTATGCTTGATGCCAGGAGAAATATCAAGAAGTCCAAGATACAGGACACAAGTTTCTGCCCTTCTAGAGCAAAACTGGCATGAGACAAGGGTGAATTCAGTTTTCATTAGATACAACCTCCCTTGTGTTGGACTTTAGCTATTAACTATTGTCATCAGTTGCTGCAACTGCTGTGCCCACTCACCCAGCCAGTTCTTAAAGTGCTATGCTAAGGTGGAAAACGGAGAACTGTATTTTATTTTCACTTTTAAATAAGTGAAAGAAATTAAGGCAGGTTCATTGCTACCTGCGGCATTTTCAGAGGGTAACCATTTACATGTCCCAACCACTTTAACCTATTCTCAACTGTTCCCGAGGCCAACCCTCACGTCCTGATCTGGTCGTACGTGAAAGTCCCACTGGCTATTGACCAATAGGCTCGTTCCTTCTATGCTGTGGGGCGGGACTTCGAGCACAGGCTTCAGGGACCCGCCCCTGTGCGTGGCAGGCGTGCACACGCCTTTCTGAGAGAAAAGGTTACACTAGCATGTGGCGCCCTCTGGCAGCAGATCTGCGTTCCTGCCACGTAGCCTTGGAAAGAAGATCGAATTTCCAGGGACCTCAGCCAGTGGCCTCGTCCTCGAGGTCGAAGACGCCTAAAGAGGAGGATCGGAGGGAGGGCAACGCAGCACCGTAGCACCGGCAGTGGCTGCCCCGGGCAGAGAGGTATACGGTGCCAGTGCGGACTGTCAGGAGCTGCCATTGGAGCCCACTGAGGGCAGGTCTGAATGCAGCTGCTGCCTGTGACCCACTGGCGGTGGGGGCGGAGCCTCAGGCCAGGTTGCTTCGAGGCTGCTGCGCCCCGGTCCCGGGAGGCAGCTGCTGTGGCTCTGGCTCGGAGGAGTGCTGGCTTTGGCATCTTTGTGCTCCTGCCAGGAAGTCGCTGGCCTGGCTGGTTGACCTTGCTATCACTTTGAAATAGTTGTCACAGTTCTTTAATAAGAAGCCGTTTATTTAGGTTCGTTATTATTTAACCTTTCCGCAAGACTCTGAGCATGCTTGAATGACAGTCGTCACTTTCCGCCAGACTTAAAAAAAACGAGAGGATTGAGACAAAGTGGCTACTAGAGTGGTTAAGATTGTATTCAGAATTATGAATTCACTCAGAAATATTTATGGAGCACCTGCTGTGTGCCAGGCACTGTGCTAGGTCGTGGGAATGCAGCCATGAATAAAACAGACATGGTCTATGTCCTGCTTGGGGCACTTACAGTCTAATGAAGAGACAATTTATTAAACCACCAACAGCATGATTGAACGCTCGCAGTGTGCCCAGCTGTTGAAGTGTTTTTCAGGATTACGCCATCGTGCTGCTGCATTAAAGGATTGTGAGGATTGCTTTCCTTGTTTGAATTTTTGCTATTCACCTGTACTGTTCTCTTTACTTGTTGGGTGTTCAGGATCATTTTCCTTGGCTCCCGAAGCTCTCCATCTATCACCTATCTCACTGCTGCCCTCACAGTTTTAACTATTAGTGGTTGTACTTCCTCACCTGGAACCGCTCTGCATTTTGTCATCAGATCCTACACTGTCCTGAAATGGCTTTCACTGAAGTCACCAGTAATCTCCATGAGATGAAATCCAGTGGATCCTCTTCTGTTCACTTTTTACTACACCTCCTGGCAGCATTTGGCTGTTGAATGCTCTGTTGTTGAAGCACGCTTCCGCTTCCTTTGTCTTCCGTTTGATTTATCTGACCTCTCTGCCCTAGTTGTCTTTGCTTGTCCTATGCAAACTCTAAGTGTCAGGTTTCTGCAGGCCTTGAATCTAGATTCTCTTTTCTTCTAACTTCACACAGGTGATCTTACCAGTTTTCATGGGTAAGTTATGACCTCTACCCCAATATCTCTAGCCCAATGATTTTCAACTTTTTAAAAATTTCATGACACATATAAACTGATTACTAAAATTCTGCAGCACACCAAAAATATATGTTTTTTGCTGGTCTGATAAAAAAAAGCAGGTATAATTTTGATACATTCGCAGCAGATGGCTATTGTTGTGTTGTCTGTTGTCACTTTTTTTACTTGACATTCTAAGGGATGGCACACTGTTTGAAAATTGCTGCTGTTGGCCATACCTTTCTCCTGAGTACCAGACTATGCAATCCTCTAACCAGTGTTTATTGAGTGCTAATCACTGGTAATACAGTGGAGTGTGTGTTCATATGGAGTATTCAGGCTGTTTATTAGATATAGATGATAAACCAATAAATAAGAAACCAAATATGTAATTACAGTTTTGAGAAAAATGCAGGGAATCAAAAGTGTGGGCTGCTGTGACAGAAAATAGCAGGAGGGTATCAGGGAAGATTCTGAGGAGAGAGTATGTCTGTTGACATTTGAAAGATGAGAAGGATCCAGCCAGGAGAAGAGTATTCCAAGAAGGGGTATAGGGCACACTTGTTGGTTTGTACTCCTTGAATGCTGGGAGTATCCTACTCTGGACATTGTTACTTTTTCCCATGACAGGATCATGAGACCTTAGAAGAATGGATCTTGAGTATAAGGAACTTTCATAGTTTCTAGGTGTATAAGTATTGGGTTGACCAAAAAGTTCATTTGTTTTTTTTCTGTCAGATGGTTTTTAGTTGTCTTTAATTTCATTCAAAACAATTTTGTTAGATTGTATTGTTACAGTATCACATCAGCATGTGTTTAAAAAAACTTATCAAAATTGGTAATTTTTGTCTCACCATTTTAATATTGAAGATGGAAGAAAATTTGCAACATTTTTGACATATGCTTTATTATTTCAAGAATGATAAAAATGCAAAAAGTGATGTATGCAGTATATGGAGAAGGTGCTGTGACTGATCCAATATGTCAAAAGGGGTTTGCAAAGTTTTGTGCTGAAGATTTCTCTCTGGATGATGCTCCAGGGCGGGGCAGACCAGTTTAAGTTGATAGCAATCAAACTGAGACATTCACTTAGAACAATCAGTGTTATACCACGTGGGAGGAGGCCAACATACTCAAAACATCCAAATTAATAAAGTTACTGGTGAAAATGGAATGTATCTTTTATTTTATGGTAAAAAACTAAATGGACTTTTTGGTTAACCCAGTATTGTAGATCCTCAGTGGACTTTTGAGGAGAATGAATAATTCGTTTCTGGGAGGGGCTGTACATATGAGCAAAACGGCTGCTGAATACAATTTATTTAAACAAGTTGTCTAAATGTGTTAGGAGATAACACTTAAAAATGCTCAAAGAAAAGTGTTTCAAATATAAACCCAAGGCTAAATTTTCACGCTAGCTTTATCATGTAGTTTTTAGTCTATTTAAAACTACTAATTACAAGTGCTGTGTATACTTAAAAAAAATAGTCTCCTATGGTTAGCAAAGGTGTATGAGTTTTTTGATCTGCTTCTCCTCTTTCATAAACTTTATTTTTTAGAGAAGTTTTAGATTTACAGCAACAATGAAGTGGAAGGTATGGAGATTTCCTATATACCCATTGGTCCCACTCATCACAGTTTCCTTCATTACCAACATGCTCCACCAGAGCGGTGCTCTTGTTCGAGTTGATGAGCCAAAATGGCATGTCATCATCACTCAAAGCCCAGAGTTTACATCAGGGTTCACTCTTCGTGTTGTATGTATTCTAAGTTTGGACAAATTTCTAATACATATCCACCATTACAGTGTAATATCATACAGAGTATTTTCATGCCCTAAAATCCTCTTTGCTCTGCATTTCATCCCTCCATACCACCTACCTGATCTGCTTTTTAAAAAATAAAAGTAACTTGCTGGAGTTTAGCTTGTTTTCATTTACATTTAGTTAATATTTTAGGGTCATGATTTTAGAATCACCATTTATGCATTTTGCTTTTTCTAGTGAAATTTTCTACCTCATGAAACCTCTTGTCCCTCTTGGTTTGTTATGCATTTTGTTTGTTTTAATTGCTGAAAATGCAATTCTAGAAATATGGAGATTATGTGGTGTTTTCAATGAATTATAAACATTGAGGGTTCTTTATATTTTATTTCATTTGGCTCTTAGTGTTTCATTAGTTTCATGGGTGAACTTCTTTACATGTATGCTCATAGTAGTTTTATTGTTTCTAAAGATATTTTATTGATTACGCTATTAGAGTTGTCCCATTTTTTCTCTCCTTTATGCCCTTCTGCCCTGCACCCCCCTCCCACCAACATTCTTTCATTCTTTCCCACCCCTTAGTTCATTTCCATGGGTCGTACATATAACTTCTTTGGCTTCTCCATTTCCTATACTATTCTTAACATCCTCCTGTCTATTTTGTACTTAGCAATTATGCTTCTTATCCCCTGTACCTTTTCCCCATTCTTCCCCTCCTCCTTCCTGCTGATAACCCTCCATGTGATCTCCATTTCTGTGATTCTGTTCATATTCTAGTTGTTTGCTTAGTTTTTGTTTTTGTTTTTTTTAGCATCAGTTGTTAATTGTTGTGAGTTTGCTGTCATTTTACTGTTCATAATTTTTGTCTTCTTTTCTTAGATAAGTCCCTTTAATATTTCATATAATAAGGGCTTGGCCCTGTATATTTCTCCTTATTTCACTTTGCATAACCTGCACTTCTTCCTTTGTTTTGTCTCTGTACTCAATCATTTCTGTGAGCATCCTCATTATCAGTGTTTTGAACTCTGCATCTAATAGGTTGTCTGTCTCCTTATTGCTTAGTTCTTTTTCTGGAGTTTTGATCTGTTATTTTATTTGGGCCATATTTCTTTGTCTTGGTGCACCTATTACATTATAAGGGGTGGGTCTTTAGGTATTCACTAGGGCGGGTCACCCACTTTGCTGTGTTGTGGTGCTGTATGTGGGGAAGGGGCCAGGGAAGGAACGGTGCCACTTGCTTGGCTCTGGCCCTGCCCTCCGCCACTTCTCCCACTACCCACAGGTGAGTTGCACGTTTCTGTACTGATTTGCAGTGGGGTGGGCTTGTGTATGTTCTAGGATCCCATGGGCCCCTCGAAAGGACTCTCTTATGAGACTGGCAGTTTCTTCCACTATCCCAACCCCCACAGGTTTTTACAATTGGAGGTTTTGAAGCTTTGTTTCCTGGTGCTGGAACCCTGGGTTTCCTGGTCTCTCTCACTCCCTAGTTGTTCCTCCTAGTTTATCGGCACATGAATGTGGGACCACTCAGTCTTCCAGCCGCTGCCTTGCTACCCATCCTCTCTGCCCTGGCTGCCCATCTCCGCCCCTTCTACCAGTCTGGATGAATGTTTCTTCTTTAACTCCTTGATTGTCCGACTTCCATACAGTTCTATTTTTTGGCCGTCCTAGTTGTTTTTTGTTTTAAATTTGTTGTTGTCCTTCTTTTGGTTGTGCAAGGATGCGAAGCATATTTACCTATGTTTCCATCTTGGCTGGAAGCCCCTGCTTATAATAGTTTTAAAATCTAAAACGCATTCTGCCCTGGCTGGTGTGGCTTGTTTGGGTGAATTATCATCTAGTAACTGAAGGGCTGTGGATTCAATTCCCAGTCAGGGCACATACCTAGGTTGTGATTCTGGGTTCAGTCCCAGTCTGGGTGCTTAAGGTCCCCAGTCTGGGCACATCCAGGAGGCAAGCAATTGATGCTTCTTTTTTTGCATGGATGTCCCTCTCTCCCTTTTTTTTCCTCAAAAATGGCCTCAGATGAGGACAAAAAAAAAAATCTAAAAGCATGCTTAGATTTGAGTAATCACTAAGTTACAATTATTTGGCTACTTATTTAAAACAGTATTCATTTCTCTAAACTC